TAAAATTATCACACATAAAATGTTGCGATTTTCTGTGATTTTTCAATATTTCTAAAATAATAACGTCAATATTTGATTAGAAGTAATAGATACAGTGATTGAGCGCTACACAGCAAGGATTATCACGCTTCACACTTCAATACATCAAAATCGACATATCGTTTTCAAACTAAATCTCGCGAGAATGTTCTGATTAAGTTATATTCAATACATATAAGTTATATATTCAATATATACAAATTCATGAAAAAACATGTTGTATACATTTTCTCTTGCAGGGAATTGATTTTTACTATCATAAATCATAGAAACAAATTATTGGAATAATTTAAAAAAAAATATGCTCAGATATTTTGAAGTGATAAAATTGAATTAATTAATGAAAGAGTAAATAATTTGATAATAAAATATATGTTTTATAAAAAAAAAATATAGTATTTTTAATAATTTTGATTTTATATATATAAAATATATGTAAATTAATCTTTTTTCTACTTTTTACTTTCTCTCTTTCTTCTAGAAAAAAAATATATACTTTATATGTTTTTTCCGAGAGCGGCGTTTCATATTTCTATCTTACCCGATGAAAATTCGACTAATAAAATTAAATTGCGGTATTCATAAAGCAAGTTTTAATGCATACCATATTTGTATGCATTCGCAATCGCTCCCTGTGGAATATCCAGTAATAAATCTTGACACCATATACACTATGTGAACTAAATACTAATTATTTTTAATGTCTTTAGCATTATCGCTCCCAGTTCTCCTCGCGCGCGATTTAGCGAGTAATATCATCGCTATAGCTATAACTTTTCGAAGCTGCGACGTGTATAAAATGTGGCTGTGTAGTGATTGGCTTGATTCTCGCGCAGGGTCCGGATAGGGTGAAGGAACTTTCCTCATTACAAGAATACTTTTAAAACGGTTCGCTTGATAAGCGAATGAACTTTCGGCGTTCCTTATCAACCCGATACTATATCGAGAAAGAGTCGAAAACGATCGCAGCAGGAATGCAATGGCGATAGAGCGGCGGTCTTTAATTTCTTTCCTGCTGCTGCTGGTGCGGCTTCGTTAGTACTGGAAATGTTCTTATCGCTGCAAAACTTTTCTTCTTTTTTTCCATTTTTCTTTTTCTTTTTTTTTTTTTGTTAATCGAGTAAAGTTCGTTCATAACGAAAATTTTTGTTGTAATAGTCACGGATTCTAATTGCGTTGTTTTAATCGTTTCATTATCTCCCTGTCTCACTATCTTATTTGTGTTTAAGACCTGCTTCTGTCTCCGCTGCAAATTCGTAAGGTATCTCGAATATAACAGCATAAATTACCGATTGCGGCAGTTCCCGGTTTTCAGACAAAGAATATATGTGGTGCGAGTCGCTTAATGCAGCCCGTAACCGGGATATTTCCCAATTAAGCTCTCTCCACAAGCGGTGATGGTGCATCTTAGTTCATGTGTCGCATGTGCGCTTTCCGCGCGTGTTAATGCCATTACTTGCTGCTAGTGTACAAAGTCTTTCCCGTGCCTGGGCCCAGCAATCCCCACGAGGCACGATTTAATAGCTTGCCAGGGGAATTCTCTGGGACGATCGGTTATCTAACACGCGTCTAATAAGACTGATGATGATCGAGTCGGGCGAAATAACGTAAGAGGAAATTAAGGTAGGCCCGACGCGAATCAGACATATGCTACTCCAATTTGCATTTCGTTCCAAGTTTTAATTGGTTCTAATCCTTTGCGGGTTACACTCGCCTTGCGCTTCGCGTACGAACTTTTAACCCTTTCCACTCGAAAGCCAAGTAGACTCGTCGTCCACAAACTTCAACATAGTTCCTCTCGAAGCCAGATATACTTTATGTGTTTAAGCTAAAAATAATTCCATTAGCATCTTATCTAGTAATCTATTAATGTTTTTTTAAGTTTTCTTTTGTATATAGAAATATCTTCTCGAATGAATAAAATATCAAATTACAAAGATATATGTTATAATCTTTGATATAATTTGATCATTACTATTAATCATATTAATAATTATATTTAATTTTAAAATAATAAAAAAGAGGAGAGAAAAAGAAAGAGAAAAATAATGGCACTAATTGGAAATAATAAATGAAGCAAACAATTATTTTCTCGTTTAGGCGATGAAGCAAACAATTATTTGATCGATGAAGCAAACAATTATTTTCTCGTTTACACATGTATACTTAAATCTCTGATTTTTAATTTAACTTTAACAAACTAAATAAATAGAGAAATAGATGAGATGTTTTAGCTTAAATATATTAGGTTTATTGAGAGTTTTATTGTGTTCCTTAATCTTGCTTAGACTTTTTAATAGACGTAGGAGCTTCTTTAATTGATCACGTCAGTATCTCGAGAAACAAACCTCTTTCTGCAGTAAGACGAAAAAATACTACTCGTCTTAACAATCCACGTACACGTGTATCTGGAGTTAGTTGAAACTGAACGACGGATGTCCAAGAGGGATTTGAGCGTCCTTGTCTTTCCTGACTGCTCGCGAAGACACTGGCAAGTTCACTGTAACTTCGTGCTGATTGCGGCAAACTCTACCACCCGATAACTTACACCAGTCAAAGGCCAGCAAGTACACACACATACACACACACAACGCACTTTCTCGCCATATTGGATTCGTCGTTACACGTCGGTGCGCCGTAGATATGCCCTTTTCAGGATTGGATCCAGGATTACAGCGAGTAACCTGGATTACCGGGTTTGGCAGTTACTAGAGATGTCATATCCTTGGGAATTGGTTTTGCCCAGGATGTATTACGCGAAATCGGCCTAATTACGTTCTGTCTGGTAGTACTAAGACATTTATGATAAAGCTTGCTCCGACTTCGGATCAGGAGGTAAAAAGTAATTGGCTTGGTGATATGACGGATCTTGATCCATCAGATCGAAATACTGGAGATGTAGATAATCTTCGATATATTTTATAGCAAGCTCTCTGAAAATTGTAATGACTGTTGTAATGGTTTGTTAAAGTCTTACTATAAAAATTTTCTGTTTCTCACAATCGATTAAATTTAATATTTTTTGAATTTTCATTAACAGAGAAAAACTACTGTATAGTTAAAGGAAAAAAAAAATATATATATTTATAGTAATATTTAGTAATTTATAATAATATTTTAATTTATATTTTTAGGTTAATTTCGTTAGAGGCATACATTAATTTCATGTGTACATTATAAGTGAAGACTCTGTGACAAGTTTTTGCATTATGTATGCTGTTATGTCCCGAGAATTCTCAGTCAGTTGCTGCATAAATATATATATTTAATATATTTAATTAACTGAAAATTTAAAATTATTTTAATTAAAAGTAACTCGAACTGTAAAGTGATAATAAAATGCGGTTAAAAACACGTGCAGCGAATCTTTATGTAGCTCTCCAGGTATTTCAAGTGAATTTTCTTGCATCTTGTATTTAAAATTTATATTAACGTAAATATTTACGGTTTTTAATTAAAACATGCAACATATAAAGTTTAGAATAAGTTTAGAATTTTCTAATTGAAAGTGAATTTTATTCAAAGCTGTTGATTAAAAAGGCGCAATATCCTTATTATATTTAGAATATAACTATACACTTATTTTTATATTCCCATAAAAATAACAGACAAAGAAAACGTTTGGAGTTACAATCATTCATATTCAAAACGTGTATGTTTGACATATGTATAATTTATAAAAATATATTTTATAAAAGTGGCAAAGAGATGTAGAAAGAAATAATAAATTAATACAACCGCAATATATGTTATTATAGTATATTACGTGTTGTGCATGCATATAAAACATAAAAGCAATGTCTGGTCACACACATATGGCCAATTCATTAAAGGTTCTTTAATGTAGCACTTTGCCGATAAAATATACGTAAAATGTAATAGCAATTTTATATATTCACGTGTACATTAATAATTAGCAAAAACATATATTGTTAAAAATATATTGACAGAAAAAAGATTTTAAAAGCTTTAAAACGCATTTCTCTCTATAAAAATCTTCAAAACAAATTTTTGTACAGAATTCGAACAGTATATTATAACAGTACATAAATATAAATAATTAAACTTTAATTAATTTTTACTATGCCACTTTTTCTTTTATCATCTTTAAATGATTTACATATGCGATTTAAACTTATGTAAATGAATAAATGTAATAGATTATTTTTCATTATTCTAAAATGGCAGGAAATTGATAATATCGCTAGGTGATTAAAATACCGTGTGATGTAGCTGCTATCCAATATATTGAGCATCGTGGTTAGCTCGCTTGGGAACGAAAATTAGCTTGAAATTAGGATGCTCTAATGGCCGTGATAATTGATATTCGATGCGTATGTGGAGGCTTTTCTCTATAACATATATCGTTTCCTACATATTGTTGCCATCAATAGTCTAACACTGCTTTCAAGTTCTACATGTCATGCAAATAACTTTTATTATTTAACAATTGTTTTTTTCTCTTTGTAACTAGGAATAATCACATATAATCATAATTATATTTTTATAAATAATAGATGTGATATTTTTTAATATTTTGTGAAATTTGTAAAATTATATAAGATTTATAATTTTATTTTATTTCCCCTTTCTTTTTTTTTTTAAATCGTGTGCTTTAATTTTGTAAATCATATGTCGATAATAATATTATTCAAAAGCAAGTAATCTTTATTTTTTTAGTGAAATTGTGAATTATTTATGCGAATAAATCTTTCAAATATAAAGACACAATTTATAAAATTATTTTAAACGGCTACATTTTCAGTAGTAGCTTGTTGTGTACCTTATTTCAATACATTCATCAATTTTATATTTATCCGATGTCATACTAATATTTTATAATATGATCGTATAAATACTTTCTTCTATAAATGTATCAATGTTATATATTGATTAATTGCTACATATGAAATGTTCACGAATGCTCTTAATTAATATATCTCGTCTTTCCTCTGTTATAGATTACATGGGTGAGAAGAAGAGACAGACAATTGTTAACAGTTGGTACTAGTACGCACTCCATCGACAAGAGATTTATGGTTAGGCACTCGAGCACTGATTGGCAGCTCATTATACGTGCCGTAACGGTAGACGATGCTGGCATCTATGAATGTCAGGTATTTCAATGCAAATTACACACATACACACACATATTCATTTCCCCTACAATATTTCTAATTTTTATTTTACACTGCATGGGAAGATGAGATTAAACTTTTAGTAGCGATTATTTAAATAAATAAAATACTGTTTTATTTTCAGTTATGTCTAGCAAATAAGTTCTAAAATACAGTTCGATGACACTTCATTAAAAATTTCACATTCATTTCTTCTACAATATCACAAATTTTCATTTTACATTGCATGGGAAGATGAGATTAAACTTTTAGTAGCGATTATTTAAAATACTGTTTTATTTTCAGCTATGTCTAGTAAATAAGTTCTAGCAAATAAGATTTCATTTTAAACTGCATGGGAAGATGAGATTAAACTTTTAATAGCGATTGTTTAAAATAGTGTTTTATTTTCAACTATGTCTAGCAAATAAGTTCTAAAATAAAATACAGTTCGATAACATTTTGTTAAAAATTTCATACATTGAAAATGTCAGTTGAAATGTCAAAGCGGTCAAGTGGCTACAAGCCAGTAGGTCACCCTAATTAGTCGTGTCTTTAACCATAATCAATGTCGCTTCGATGAATACAATTTTTAATATACCTAATTATAACATAATAATTTCTCGAAATATAAAAAATTAACTATTATCAAATTTATAAAGAAATTTCTTGTACTCAAATTGCAATAAAAAAATTACTTTTTAATATTATATTTCATTTTTTTCTATATAATATCAGGCATAATTTATTAATTCTACGCAAGATGGAGAGAGATCATTTATAAATTATTTGATTTATTAACTAATAAAAAAGAAACACCGTGTTTGCTCGTAATACTTTTTAATTTGCAATATTCTAAACAGTTTAATAATAAATTTATGTTGAGAAAATATCATGCATGACTACGTCTTGTAAATTACGTTCGGAAATAAAATTACTGAAACATTTTATTTCTCATCTCAACTTGTGTCGTTCACCCTAACGTACCATGATAAGTTAGAGGTGTCGCTATATTATGATCGCAGGTGACGTCGCATCCGGTGCAGCGAAACTTCGCCCGTCTGAAAATCACGGAAGCGTACTCGATAATACCAGGTGCGCCTGATTTGCACGTGAAGCAAGGCTCGAGTCTCCGTTTGGAATGCCAACTTATGGCAGCCACGGAAAGGCCCCTTTACGTCTTCTGGTATCGTCAGGGCCGTATGATAAATTACGACGAGGAGCCCGGTGTCGACGTCAAGCTTACGACGAACGGCTCCATTTTAACGGTGAACAAAACGAAGCTTACGCACAACGGCAATTACACGTGCGCGCCTAGCAACGCCAAGGCGGCGTCTGTCACGGTCCACGTGATTGAAGGTGAGAGCAACATCATTCTATCGTGAATTTAATTCGGGATTTGATGTTATTGAAAACAATCTTTTAACGCAAAATTAATCCACAAATATTATTTTGTGCCAATTTGTATCGCAAAAATATTTTCTATTAAATATTGTAATTTAATTTTAATAATATACTTCAATGAAACACATATCTTTTATTAATATATGAGTCTTTTCTATAAATAACATATTAAATGTAAAATAGAGATGAGAACACTTCAAATCAACTGAAATTATGTTTCCAAACACGCGCAGATCTGTAGTATTGTTTTGCAAAGCAAGATATAATGACTATTTGCTGATTATAAATAAACAGTCGACAAACAGCTGCTATTCAGAAAATCTTGCGATGACATGAATAATGATGTTTGTTATTTTAGCGTTTGCATACAGGATGTATACATACATATGTACATACATAGACAGAAAGTATCACAAATGCGATCACTATAAATATATCGTAAAAATTTATTTAAACTGATTCTCTAATGTCGCGTGTTGAAGAAATAACATTTTAAATAGAACTTTAAATAAAATAATATCTTGCGGATTATTCATATTAAATCATCTGCTTTTATTCGATAAAAAATTTTTAAGCTCACATGATTTATGCATTTTTCTCATATTCGATGCGACTATAAGCACTGATCAGATCAAGAAATATATGCGTATTGGAGCATATACATTTTTTCTAGATTTAATATTTTAATAAATCATAATGCTACACTGTTACACATATATATTATAACAATATTACAACGTTGATCTAATTTGTGAGTAAATTATCAGGTCGCGAATGCGTCGATCATAGACAGAATGTGCGATTTTGGAATATAATGCGATAGTAATTGACTCACTTCAGTTATGTGGGCGAAGACCGGGACCGATCGATGAAGGAACTTCCGAAACTTGAATATTCATTAGAGTAAAAGCCGAACAATTAAACGGTTGTAGGAAGCTCATTACGATCGGATTTAGCGGCTCTCGTAGACGCATTCATCCCCGACCCCGCGTAGTTCGCTTGTGATAACGACGAAGGGCGGTTCAAAATTGTACGACCGCTTCACTAACGATGGAACTTTTACCCTCCGAGTTCGCCGCTAGAACGAAGTTCGACGCAATTTTTCGAAAGTACGGCGTAAGTTCTCTCGGACCGGCCTCACCTATACTTTAACATGCTTAGTAACTACGTAATAACGCGATAGTCTGTGAGGCATTATCAAACTTATCTATTATTTTCTCTTTACAAGACAATGATTTTGTTTTAATTTTTTTTTACACTCGTTTTACGACGCCTTCGACATCGTGGAAAGTTTCCCAAAGCATTAATGTACATACATATGTATATGTATGTTGTATCGAGTCCAAAGTTTTACTTACTTTATTCTTATAGAAACTAAAGAGAATAGCAAGCTAAATAAAGAAAACCAATAGATATGATTAAAAAAAATTCTTTTTGAAACATAAATTCAAAGTTACTGCTATGTAATTAATAATTGTGGATTAATATATAATTTTAAAAACTTGCATTTTACATATAAAATACTTATATACTTATTTTATTCTTATAGAAACTAAGAAGAATAATATAGCAAAATTAAATTATATTTTTTATCATAAAGTAATATAACAATTTATAATCTCAATTTAAAATTTTTCTTATTTTTATAAATAACAAAATAAAATAAATATTTAAATGAAAAGAGAGACACCTAAATTATTCTAGATTTTATGAAACATGACATTGCAGAGATTTATGGCAATTTATTGAAAATCGGGATATAAAGAATTACGAAAATTAAACTCATTAATTAAAATGATTGGATTTATTTAGAATTAGATTTTTAGTATTAATAATAAAGCTTGCCTTGAAGGATTTCATAATGGTATAAAAAGAGACAGACGTCTTGAAAAATTCGCGAAGTTCGACAGATATTCATCCAATGTTTGCCGTATCTCCGTTGATGTGACAACTAGGAGAGCTTCACGGACGTGACCAGATTGTCAAGAGGTATTTTCTACAGGAAAAAGTGCGAAGTGATCCGCGTTTTATTTTATATCTCAACTAGAAACGTCGGATGGTCTGACATAGTTTAAAACATTGTTTTTACCCTCTCACGAAAGGAAAGGTTTTATTATTCTATTTCAGGAAAACACTTTTCTTGCTTTCCTCTCAATGTAAATTCTTTCTTCCATCTATCTACCTACCTACCTATCTATCTATATATCTATCTATTTATCCATCTATCTTTACATATTTTGTATGTATATATGTGAAGTGTATCTAATCTAAAGTTAAGCAACCTAGACACATTATTCACTTTTCTCCTCCGTCATCGTATGAAACGCAGCTTTCTAATCTCATTGCAGAAGAGGAGAAGCCGGCGGCGATGCACGGAGGTGACAGAAGGAACCTCAGCCCGGCAATTTTGGCGAGCAACTTTCTGGTGTCTCTCCTAGCGGCCGTCAGCTGGAGGATACCGAGTTTCACGAACCTTTATCCAACGTGAATTACCGCTGTCCCTCCGGCGGCGGCATTTTACTGTCCCTCTGCGACGAGGGTCCCCCCGTCGAGGAAACGAGTTCCCGGGTCATCGTTCTGCTACTCGGCGCGATGCGACCCCAAGAAGAAACTCCGTTCACGGAGATTGTGCGCATTGTGGTACCCACAAACTCGGCGATACCTTACTCGGTTTACCTTGTAAAACGTGTGTTTTTCTTGCGTAAATTAAATAAACGCAGTTCGGGGGTGGCAGTCGCGATATGCGCGTGTCTCGTCTCCGACAGTGTCCTGTGAGCTCAAAGGTTGTCAGCGAGTCTGTTGGTTTGTTTAGTGCACACATCTGTGAGAAACCCTCTCTTCAACTCCTCCCTTATTCCTTTATCTACTTCTATCTTGGCCCGTTTTCGCGCGAGTGCCGCGAGTAAATGTGCTTGGCCGGACGATTCTGCTCCGTTTTGGAATTGAGCTAGCGATTTACTATAGGATATGTTTTATTCTAACACATACGCACACATAAGACACATACACACACACACATACACATACACATATACACTTTCTCGTGTAATCTCCGTCTCTCATTGCGTGCGAAGTTACAATCCAAGCTCCTGTCCACGCGACATTTCCATAAAGATGAGAAATAAGATTTCAACACGTAAATACAAATGCAATTTCTCCTGATATATAGATTTCTTTAATGATTATAAATTATATAAAACGATAGGCGAAGGAACTTTCAACACTTTACGAAGTTTATATAATTTTGACAAATTGGCTTTACATATTGCATAAAGATATAACGCATGAAATTACATAAAACATTTTATCGTATAATAAATTTCTCGCATATATTCAGATTTTGATTTCAGAAGTAATAATATTCTCTTTTTTATCATTGTTTAAGCTAGATTACAACCGTCTCGGAATAACGTGAATCGCAATGAGACGAGACGATTATCGAGCTATGGTACTAAGGTACGTCGTAAGGTATGCATTTGGTGAAAAAGTCGCGTAAGCGGAAGGGGAGTCTCGATTTGCTTGGACAAGAAAACTCGGTTTCTCGCAGGAAATACGTTTCCCGATGAGAACCCTTCCGCTCGATAATGCGGCTCGTCGATACCTTTCAGTGTGCGTGAGTCGGCGAGTCATGCATTTCTTTGTATGTGCATTCTACATATACATATATACACTTATGTATTCGTTACGTACACAAAAATATATACGGCGGCAACTCGATTTATCGCTCTTCCAATTAATCGTCATACCATTCATATTTTCGAATCCCAAAGTGATTTGTATCGCTTATCGTTTGTCGCGTATTCATTAATCGCGCAGATTGTTTTTCGTTTTGTCCCAAAACATCCCCTCTGAAAACGTTCGATCGAGTTTTCATCGTATATTATTATTATATAATGTAGAAGTTGTTGCGGAAATCGTGTTTGTTGTGACCAGCACATATGCGGTAATAACGACGAATTGTGTTCTATATATATTCTATAATAAATCGTCTGCTATCAAGACTTGTTTTTATTTCATAAAACGGGATTCGATATAAATATCAAAAAAAAATATATTTAAAATTTGTACTTGAATAGACGACTAAGCAGAAAATTCGAATAAAAAGAATCCTACTGAGAGATTAGCATAGGACGAGAAAAGTATATTTCGAACCAAAGCTCTGATTCCACATTTAATATAATTTTATCTTCATATGGGGTAGCAGAAGATTTAAATAAATTTTTCGTCGAGTAGAATATGCGCTGCTTGGAAATCACGATGATAGGACACAAGCGGATTTCTTGCGACAACTTGATTACGCGAGCCTGAAGTGGATGAGCGACGTTCTTTCCGTGCTGTAGAAAGCCTTACCTCAATTCCCGTCGACTCTCACAGTGTCATTGTGAAGGGGTTCTTCCCCGACACCTCGCGATCTCTCGAATGGGTATACATCGAAGCATCTTCGCAGTGTTTGTTCGCTCGCAGTGTACATCTATCTTTAAATAAACGATAAACGTGTGTTCGAATGTTGGATGTGAGGAGAAGATTGGCGAACACTATCGCGAACGTTTACCCTCTTTCTCTCTGTTCCTTCGGTCATTCTTCTTTCGCTCGGTGTATACCTACTTTCGTACGTCTTCAAGATTGAAAAATGATTCAACCTTGGACGGTTCGAGCGATCGAGTCTTTCGAGATACATAAAGTACACTCTTTCCTCAATTTTAACGAAATCGGATTTTACTCGATATTCTCCAACGACTTCACTCGATGACGCAGATGTACGTGGTTGCCATTGATCGAGACACGATTAGTAAAGCCTCGTCTGTAACCGTTCTTCATTTCGTTAGAACAATCAACGTAACGTAAATAAGTTGAGAAGTTCTCTAAAAAATATCTATGAAATCCTTTAAAAAAATATCTCCCAGACACACACATCTCTTTTAGATACTTGTCGTTTAGATATCGGGCTTGCGGATTGTAAAGTAATAGAAGTGAGAGCAGAGATGGCGAGAGAAGGAGTGTAAATTTTCGAAAGGATTCTCGCGTTTCCACGACGGTTCACGATTCCTCGCAAATGGCGTTGATTTCGTAGCTTTCGTGCGATGAAGAGAAAACACTTGAGCGTCACGGTCTTTAAACCATACATCGAGTTTTATGCGCGGCACGCACGACACGAGGCGATGCGGCCGCGAACACGCGCTCATCAACGTTATTTATCTGGATACGTGGAATCAATGTAAATACTAAACATTCTAATTACGCATTCAATAAAACATTAATCGTGACTATACACGAATGTAATGATTCATTTCCTATCTCTCAAGAAGTGTGTAATTACTCCAATTAATAATTTAAAATTATTATTTGTACAAATTTTTAACGCTTGACAGGCATTATGGAATTAAAAAAAAAAAAGAGAAACAATTCTGTATAATTAATAATACAAGCTTTGAAGGTATACAAGTTTTATACACGCTTTCTAAAAGTTTTTAATATTTTTTGCAATAAAGTGTATGATGAAAGTTATTTATAAATTTTTCAAAATTTTAATAATTTCTTTCGTTGAAATGTCATACGCATACAAGTATGATAATAAAAAGCTAAATAATATTTTAAAACTGTATGTGCGACGTTTATTTTTTATATAAGGCTATTAAATATTATTTTTAAAAGTGTCATAATTCTCTTTATTTTAAGACATATTATATTTGTGCAATAAAATGATTTTATATTTATGTGCGTATAAAATCACACAAAAGAAACAAAAATATATGCCATTATTTAAACATACAACACACAACTAGCCTGTCGACAATTCTCAATTATTTTGTACATTGCACCTATATTTTATGATTCAATAAATATTTAAAAAAACTAGCGAAAAAAATTATTTTTATAGAGAAGAAAAAGTTAACGCATTATTTACGCTAACACCCATTGGCTTTTTGACGATGTCAAAAGCTTTACGATGCAGGTAAGAAGAAATCAGTTGTTTCACTGCATTCATATATTTTTACAGATCACTTAGCATTTCTGTTTTATAAAAGATGAAAGCAGCGACGGACGCAGGACTATTTCTAACATTGTGACTTACATGCGACATACTATATAATGCAACATATTTTGCATGAACACGTATGGTCGCGTGTTTGCTGTCTTTAATCATTTGTCGACTATATCTGTGCAAATATAAAGTTTTATTTGTTAGAAACTTTTTCGAGAATACTTTACTTTTTATCATACACCTTTTATTGTATATACCTTTTTATTGTACATCTACACAATATCATTAATCAATAATTGTTAATAATTATTGTTATAATTGTTATGCTAATTACTTCCAATAATAATGAAATAATAATAATGAAAGTAATTTGCATGCTTTTGAAAAAGATTGAAATAAACATTTAAAAAGATAAGTTGTAAATCGAATGACTGTCTATGATATCTAATATTTCCTAATAATAATAATTATTATTATTAGGAAATATTAGATATCATAGACAGTCATTCGATTTACAACTTATCTTTTTAATTATTATTATTATATGTATATATACATATATATAAAATGAATTATAATAATTATATATGAAAGATATAAAAAAATTTATATGTTTTAAGCATGTTTTTTTTTTTATTTTCACGCATGTTTCGCATTTTCGTCTTGCAAAATAGAAATTCTTAAAAAAATTTACTGGTTTTCTCTGCACATACACAACATCCTAAATCTTCTTCCTATCAAATTATCCTACATATATATTATATAATTTGATTGTTTTAATAATGTATTTTTTTTTTACAAAAGTAAATTTTTTAACATAGAACTGCACGACTAATACAAAATCTCTAACGATTGTCAACTTGCATCCAGTAATCATATTTAATATCAAAGTATAAGCAGACAACGCAAAGAATGCAAAGCGAAACGATTGAGTCTATTACTGAAATAAGAAACCACATCTCTCAGAAACATCTAAAATATTCGACATAACAATCGCGAATCATATATCTCGATCTCCGGTCCAATTTATATTCGTCATAAAAAAATCCACTTAATCACATATTGAGCTAACAAAATTGTCAGAATGACAAAAATAGCAAGAGAAGGTTAAGGTCAAAGCCAAATAGGATTTAATCTATACATCTAATCCACACATCTAATCCACATCTTCGATAAAAGAAGGAAAAATGGGAAATAAAAGGATAAGATAAAATCGTTGGTAAAATTTCATGTTGGTTAAATATATACGGAATTGTATACGTCAAGTCAGCGTTCCATTAATGTAATAAAAAGCCAATTAGATGACGACGACAGATAATGGAATCCCGCCACCAAGAAGGAATATACTCGGAAAGCCCTTTTCTCAATTATATTAGTGCCGATTAAAACGACCCGGGTGGTCTCGGTTGACAATTAACGTAATAAAAACTTAATTTAAAGGAACGCTAATCAGCTCGGGATATAATACGTTAGCGCTTAAATAAGTTTTTAAAGTCAACGTGATAAGACTGTTTCTTTTATCTTCCTTAACTTTTTCTAATCTTGTTAAATGTGCATGTCTTTTTATTTATATAAATCTGCAAACATTGCTAAAGATTATACTTTTGCGGCTTATTGTTTGATATTTTTCTGTGAAATATTATTAATAAGTTTGAAAGAAGGACTATAAAAAACTAAATTACGATTTTTAGTTGAGAATTATATAATTAAAATTATAATTATAAATTTTACGTTCAAATATAAAAATGCTAAAAAGTCGTAATTTAAGAATATTTAGAGAAATAACGTATATTTAAATTCTAGATGCTAATAAAACATACGGAATGCATTATTCATATCTGATGTCATCGTGACATTTCTAGTATTTATATTTCACTCGTTATTTTGGTTCCACGCCTCCAATTTACTCTTTTTCTATTTCCTATTTTTGCTGAATAAAAGTTGCATGATAAAAGTTCTGAAACTCTTTCACAGCGGTAGCTAAATTGAAACACCACCGAAATAAAACGAACGTTCCTCCTGCCGCGCTTCTCGGGTTCAGGTACCTGTCTGCACGCTCGTATATAGTTGCACTCCGATTTGTAATAAAGATTCCGACTCCTTTGCCATTTCGTGGCTGCGTTGCGTACACACGTGTATTTCGCAGGAGTACGATCGATGAAAAGAGCGGTTCCGCATTTGGGGAGAAGAGGAAAATTACGAGGAAAAATAACAAAAAAAAAGCAAAGCGCGGACTCATTATACGAAGCGAATTATTATGCGGTGTTTTTGTTGCAAATACATGAGACTGGCTACCGAATGGAAATGTCAATATTCCGTTACAATTTACGATTATTCGTTTTTTTTTTAAAGAAAAATTTAAAATGCAAATCCATCAATCTTCTCGAATCATTATCATTATTTTGTCACAATCGAAAATTGTAGCGATAAATATGCGGGAAATAAAATATACTAAAATACATATAATTTGAATATATACCATGAATTTATATAATTTGTACCATCATGGATATTATAATGATCTATAATATTTCTCTTTTTTTTTGTATCACTCGAGCAAAATTATAAGCTTGACATCTTATACTGTTTTAGGTATTTTTTTAGGTACAAATACAAATGCGTTTATAAATAAATACAAAGAAATAAAAAAATATATTTATAAATAAATAAAAATAAAAAGAATAATATGTTTTTTTAATAAATTGCCTTATAAATTTATGAATTCCTTTATATTAATACAATATCATTGACATTTTAATTTAATTATCTATTCATATTCAAGGTTGAATAGAAACTATAGATCACTCAATGTATGCCGACCTTTTAAAAAAATTGGAAATAATATACTTTATTGGCAAAGTATATTACAGGATCAATATCTCGCAAGTAGGTTCATTCGCATTCTTTCCCTTCTTTTCTTTACCAAGCATAGAAGTAATGATCTTTCGTTGAAAGAACGAAAAGAGCGAGAAACGAGTAGAAAGATGTAAGAGGGATTGCCAAGCAACATAGCATAAAGCCCGAAGGATATGACAATATCAGATGGTAAACATAACGAAATAGAATGATCGATGGATGTTGTAATATTTCAATAGATAGCATGTTCCCATCCATAAAACAAACATCGATTCTGGCATAAAAAATAAATGAGACTATTTTTCGATCAATGGTACTAAATAAAAGTTGCTAAAAGTAGTTTTCATTCTTGATTCAAGAATATTTAGCAACAATTTGGTAGATTGATGCAAATTAATATCGAGAAGAATGAGCTCCTTTAGCTCTTTCATTCATAACGCTGGAATATAATAGCAGGTGATCGAATATTCTTTTCGAATGTTCCTCGTAACTTTCGTTAGATCTTATTTGACTGCAGAGAATTACTGAACACGCGTAACTTTTGTATCACGACCTATATTCCTTTCTCCGAATAAGCACGATGTTTGCGGTCTCGGATCTACAACGGTATGTGTAGGAAGCGGTAAGCGCTTTATAGGGACAACTAAATCTTGTATGTAGGTACAAACGAGTCGAGTGGTATGAGAGATGACGCAGTGTTTTGGCTCACTGGCATCGAGCTTTGCCGAACTTTCTTCGTGGCAGGGGATAGAAATACAAGGAGGGCGAAGTTCTGCGCTTCTTGAGAGTTCTCGTTCCGGTCGTCTGCACATAATACATCTGCTGATAGGCTCATTACAGCAGCATTCTTGCTTGCAATTTCGATGATCCTCGATGAAATTTTAGAAAGAGAAAATCAACTATTTTTATACTAAACCACACACGTAATTTTCTTCAAAAAATTATTAATTTGTAACAATTATAATGAGACAGTTGAAATATTTTTTAATTAAAAAAAGAAGTCATCGTAATTTTTTAATACACTTTAAATTGCACAATAATGGATCTGATATATATATTTTTACCTATGGATTTGCCAAATGTCGCGATGATTGTCCGCATTTTATTCCGCGAAAAAAATTGAACGTATCACCGCAGAAAAACGAAATATTTTCAACTGCAATTCGAGAATCGTGAATGGATTGTGGCGATACGCGTATTCACGAGCTGAAAATGTTCGCTATCGCGTAGTTTTCCATAAATTCAACGATAAACCATTTCGATTTGTGAGCATTGGTACATATACAATATATGTAAAACGAGATACTCGAGAATATTAAACATCGCACCTATAAAAAGCGAAGCGTAGTCGGCGACGCAATTTGACTTCTACTAACACGTATTATATTTACATCCGTGATTATACAAATAGATCGCTGTTTTGCGTGACA